TTCCTCTGATTTCGAACTGTTCAGAAATGATAGGACCTCATCACGTAGCGGCGGAGTCCTCGTTGCTACTAGGGCAAATCTCAATGCCACATTAGCCCACAAAAGTGACAAGGTAGAACTTGTAGCCGCTAGAATCCATATTGCAAAGCAAAAACCCATAATAATAGCCTCATACTATAGGCCACCCAATAAGACTGACCAACAGTTCATAAGCGACTCGGTAATGGAAATCACCAACCTATACAATACTTTCCCAAACCATACCTTTTGGCTCGGGGGTGATTTCAACTTGAGTGACATCAGCTGGCCCGATAGTGTCATCGCAAGTAGCAACTATCCAAAAATTCTGAGTGAACAATTCATTGCTCTCTTCCATGATCTCGGCTTGAATCAAGTAGTGGACTTCCCCACTCGTTATAACAACACACTTGATCTCTTTCTAACAAACATGCCGTCAGTTGTCAATAAGTGCAAGGCTATCCCAGGTGTGTCAGACCATGATATCGTCCTAATTGACAATGAAAGCTCAACTCCTTCCATAAAACAGCCAAGACGAACCATATTTTTATGGAGCAAGGCTAACATCACCCTTATGAAAGAGGAGGTGAAAGAAAAGCTGAAATGTATAGTAGACCAAACTATGTCTGTTGACCAGGCCTGGTCACATTTCAAAAATGTCCTTAATTCAGTTATTAAAATCCACGTACCCCAAAAACTAACGAGGTCAAAATTCACCAATCCATTGGCTAGTAACAACATAAATAGGCTAGCCCGACAAAAACGAAGATCCTAAAACAAAGCCAAGAAAACACACAAGACAAAAGACTGGGACAGGTACAAGAAAATAAAATCCAAAGTTTATTAAAAGTAAAAAAATGGATACAAACAACATCTCACCAATTAGGAATCCTGAAGACGGCCTTACATATGCTGATGCAAAAAGCAAAGCATACATAATAAACCAACAATTTCAGTCCGTCTTCACCAAAGAATACCCGACTTCGGTCCGTCACCATTCAGACCAATGGCACGCATCACCATCAGCGAACCAGGTGTATATAAACTCCTTCAGAATATCAAAATTCATAAAGCCTGGTCCTGATTCCATTCCAGCCAGAATCCCCATGAATTGGCAACAGAAATCACCCCAGCACTATCAATTATCTTTCAAAATTCCCTCGACTCTGGCACCGTACCACACGATTAGCGTGAAGCACACATCGTGCCAGTCTTCAAAAAAGGGGATAAACAAGCTGCTGAAAATTATAGACCTGTCTCACTTACCTGTATCACATGCAAATTATTAGAACATATCATCCATAGTAACGTTATGTCCCACCTTGAGCAAAATAACATCCTAACAAATTTACAACATGATTTCCGTGCAAAATTCTCTACTGAATCTCAACTGATTCTGACAATTGACGACATAGCAAGGAACCTTGATAAAAATAAACAAATTGACGTCGCCCTTTTAGATTTCTCGAAAGCATTCGACAAAGTCCCTCATGCAAGATTACTTTCCAAACTAGAATTTTATGGGGTAGATCCAGATACTATTGGTTGGTTTTCCTCTTTTCTGAACAACAGACAACAGAAAGTAATAATTAACGGTACCAGCTCTGATAGCGCCCCCGTCCTATCCGGGGTACCTCAGGGAAAGGTTGTTGGCCCACTCCTCTTTTTGGTCTACATTAATGACATCATCGACTCAGTTTCCTGCGACATCAAACTCTTTGTTGACGACTGCTTATTATATACAGAAATTGATTCATTAGAAGACTGTCAGAAACTGGAAAACGACCTCAAATCCTTGGAAATCTGGGACGGTAAATGGCAAATGAATTTTAACGCCAAAAAATGTTCTATCATCAACATATCTAGAAAGAAAAATCCAATTAAGTTTAACTACTCCCTGCGCAATCAAGTTTTGGAAAATTTAGACTCTAGCAAATACCTAGGGGTCACTTTCACCTCAGACCTAAATTGGGATAAACACATACAATCCATCACCAACAAGGCAAATAGGACACTGGAATTTCTGCGCCGCAACATGTCATCATGCACCAGAAAAATCAAAACCCAGACATTCACCACACTAGTAAGACCATCACTAGAATATGCAGCCACTTGCTGGGACCCTTATATTTCAGACCAGGTCCTAGCATTTGAAAATGTACAGCGTAGGGCTGCCAGATACTTATTTAATGATAATAGATCTAGAGAGCCTGGATGTGTCACCAACATGATAAATATACTTAACTGGGAGCCCCTAGCCCAGCGAAGAACAAAAGCCAGGCTCATGATGTTATATAAAATAACAAACGGACATGTGGCTATTGATCCATCCCAATTCATAACATCAGGCGACAGGAGAACCAGAGGGGACCACAGAATTAATCAAATATCAACCCACACAAATTTGTACAAATATTCATTCTTCCCTAGAACTATTGTTAAATGGAATTCGCTACCATCATCCCTAGCACAGGAGCCAAATCTGAACTCTTTCAGGTCTGCCCTGGCTAGTTTCAACCTTTCATAAAGTGTTTTCTGTTTTATCTTATAGTACAAATTAACAAAAATAATTGTTTTTAACATTTTTAATGCCACCTCCCAGGATCAAGTGCACTCAAACCTTTGAGTCTGATCCTTGTAAAGGGAGAAGAAGAAGAAGAAGTGTTACCTCGGGTTTAACGACACACAAACACTGTATGTAGCTGACACTAAGTGTAACCTCGGGTTTAACGACACACCAACACTGTAAGTAGCTGACACTAAGTGTTACCTCGGGTTTAACGACACACAAACACTGTGTGTAGCTGACACAAAGTGTTACCTCGGGTTTAATGACACACACACTGTCTAGGTAACTGACACTAAGTGTAACCTCGGGTGTAACGACACACAAACACTGTATGTAGCTGACACTAAGTGTTACCTCGGGTTTAATGACACACAAACACTGTGTGTAGCTGACACAAAGTGTTACCTCGGGTTTAATGACACACAAACAGTCTATGTAGCTGACACTAAGTGTTACCTCGGGTTTAACGACACACAAAGCCTGTATGTAGCTGACACTAAGTGTTCCCTCGGGTTTAACGACACACAAACACTGTATGTAACTGACACTAAGTGTTACCTCGGGTTTAATGCCACACCAACACTGTGTGTAGCTGACACAAAGTGTTGCCTCGGGTTTAATGACACACAAACACTCTATGTAACTGACACTAAGTGTAACCCCCGGTTTAACGACACACAAACAGTCTATGTAGCTGGCACTAAGTGTAACCTCGGGTTTAACGACACACAAACAGTCAATGTAGCTGACACTAAGTGTAACCTCGGGATTAACGACACACAAACAGTCTATGTAACTGACACTAAGTGTAACCTCCGGTTTAACGACACACAAACAGTCTATGAAACTGACACTAAGTGTAACCTCGGGTTTAACGACACACAAACAGTCTATGTATACGTAGCTGGCACTTAGTGTTACCTCGGGTTAAACGACACACAAACACTGTATGTAGCTGACACTAAGTGTTACCTCGGGTTTAACGACACACAAACAGTCTATGTAACTGACACTAAGTGTTACCTCGGGTTTAACGACACACAAACAGTCTATGTAGCTGACACTAAGTGTTACCTCGGGTTTAACGACACACAAACAGTCTATGTAGCTGACACTAAGTGTTACCTCGGGTTTAACGACACACAAACAGTCTATGTAGCTGACACTAAGTGTTACCTCGGGTTTAACGACACACAAACAGTCTATGTAGCTGACACTAAGTGTTACCTCGGGTTTAACGACACACAAACAGTCTATGTAGCTGACACTAAGTGTTACCTCGGGTTTAACGACACACAAACAGTCTATGTAGCTGACACTAAGTGTTACCTCGGGTTTAACGACACACAAACAGTCTATGTAGCTGACACTAAGTGTTACCTCGGGTTTAACGACACACAAACAGTCTATGTAGCTGACACTAAGTGTTACCTCGGGTTTAACGACACACAAACAGTCTATGTAGCTGACACTAAGTGTTACCTCGGGTTTAACGACACACAAACAGTCTATGTAGCTGACACTAAGTGTTACCTCGGGTTTAACGACACACAAACAGTCTATGTAGCTGACACTAAGTGTTACCTCGGGTTTAACGACACACAAACAGTCTATGTAGCTGACACTAAGTGTTACCTCGGGTTTAACGACACACAAACAGTCTATGTAGCTGACACTAAGTGTTACCTCGGGTTTAACGACACACAAACAGTCTATGTAGCTGACACTAAGTGTTACCTCGGGTTTAACGACACACAAACAGTCTATGTAGCTGACACTAAGTGTTACCTCGGGTTTAACGACACACAAACAGTCTATGTAGCTGACACTAAGTGTTACCTCGGGTTTAACGACACACAAACAGTCTATGTAACTGACACTAAGTGTTACCTCGGGTTTAACGACACACAAACAGTCTATGTAGCTGACACTAAGTGTTACCTCGGGTTTAACGACACACACAGTACACAACTGATCATATTTTCCCTTTTTTAGCTTAAATCAATGATTAACAAAACGTGTACGTATACACAAGCTGTATGCCAAATGGAAAGTCATTAGAAAACTTCCGGACTGATCACGTGTATTTGGTGCTGAACGTTAGTATAAATATCGCTCTTACTGCTGACTGTATCTCGAGTATCAATCCTCAAAACTCAAAGTACTGTCTGCTTAAGATACTAAGTTGATTCATTTTCTCTGGAAACATTAGAAATTCTTGATATGTTTAGTCATGTCACTATGTATTATTACATGTTGCTAATACGTAGTCGGTCTCACGTTTGTTAAGTAAGTGTGTACGCCGTCTAACTTGTCAGTAATACAGTAGAGCTGAAGGCTGTTCATGCCTCCGCCATGTTACCCAGTCAGAATCCCACACGAACATCTCCGGGCCATATCATTAGCCCCGCATCCCACTTATAAACATCCAACGACTGCCTCCGCTTCACACTTAATCTAGGATATCACAACACTGCAGCTCGGAAAGTCATGGAATCTTTGAAAAACAACATTTTGTCATTGTTACCGTTGTTAGCGGTGGTTACAGTGACGCTGCCGTGTTTTCGATGCCAGTATACAGTTGATAATTTTAAACTGGAGTGGAATTTAGGGAGTCAGAAATGTCAGAGTAGCTGGACCTGTGCCGATAACGTGAGTAGTGTGATAGACCTGTGCCAGTGTGATGACAGGTGTAGAATCTATGACGATTGCTGCTTAGGTGCTGACCACGGTAGTGATGTCCAACACAACGTCCATTTAACATGTAAATATATACCGGAAGTTAAAGAAAAGGCCTACGTACATATCATAGAAACCTGCCCAAATAGTTATAACAACGACCAGTGGGAGACGTTATGTGAAAATGTCACGTCTGGTGACGACATCACAATTCGGACACCTGTCTCTGGTGTAAAATCCGGCTTCCTGTACAGAAACATGTACTGTGCTATGTGTCACCGGGAAGATTACGTGACATGGAGACCGGGAATTGATTGTACATGGAAGATTGACTATTATGGAAGAAACTATTCTTTAGTTGCTCTTCTAAACGACTCCAACTGTAGAACAATTTTCGAGCCACCGCCATCTTTGGTAAATTTGGAACTAAGAGAATGTCTCCCTGTGGTTGATTCGTGTGAGGAGAAGTTTAATGACGGAGAGAAATGCCAGACAGGAGACAGAGCCCTCGTGTTTGGAAAGGCAATATTTAAAAACATTCACTGTGCCTTATGTAATAGTGAAGTATTGGCGAACCTATCTTGTGATCCTAACAGTGTCCAAATCTTCCCGAAAAACCCAAACAAACGAAAGCCCATTAATTACAGCTATCGGCTTCTGGTGGACCTCCAGGCCCTGACTAGCGTGGGTGTAGCCTCAGCGAGGAGGGCTGCGGAGAGGAAAGAGGAGCGGGACTTATCTAATTTCTGTACAGACTCCTGGGTATACGATCCTTTGGCTGAAACCTGTCGGCAGATATTTTGTGCTGTACCATTTGTTTATAAAGATAAAAAGTGTGCGCTAGGTTCGGTGGCAGACACCAACCTCTGGAAAACAGAGAATGACGAACAACACCTGCCGTGTCCGTATGTACGTCTCAACCAAAGCGAATATCAAATCATTAACACTGATCAAGTATTTATTTTATCTTCTGGGTTTATTTACAGTAAAAACGATTCTTACATAGGTGATGGATTCGCCTTGGTATGTGTCCAAGAACCACTGAATAAAACACGTTTTTTGGAACCCGATAAAGTAACGTTAGTGTTTAGCAGTGTGGAGAGCGTTCTCTCTGTAGTGTGCGAGTGTTTATCAATCACGGCCCTGTGTCTCGGACTGATGATATACGTCTGCTTTCCCAAATTACAAAATATTCCCGGTAAGAACTTGATTTGTTTGATGGCCAGTCTGCTTACGGCACAGGTGCTCTTCATCCTAGCGCCGCTCGCCATTGGCGTTACTCCTCTGTGTACCATTGTTGCTATAGTGATGCACTACGCGTATCTGGCCGCGTTTTTCTGGATGAATGTAATGGCAGTAGACATATTTCTTACATTTTCAAGAGGTCTCGCACAATCAAGAAGTGACAAGGGAACTGATTTTCAACATTTTTTCTCCTATTCATTGTACAGCTGGCTAACTCCTGCTGTTATCGTCTCTATTGCTGTTGTTTTCGATTTTACAACATTGGAATTGGACTCCAAACCTAAATATGGAGCTGTCGTCTGCTGGATTTCCAACAGTTATGCATTATTGTACTTCTTCTTAGTTCCTTTATTTGCTCTCGTTTTCACCAATATGATCCTGTTTATTTTTACCGCTAGAGCTATCTACGTATCAGACAAAAGTACGTCACGCATCCTTCAAAAAAAGCAAACTTGTAAATTACTGATATATATGAAGCTCTCGAGCGTCATGGGGTTTACTTGGGGTTTCGCATGTGTCGCTACTTTTGCAAATTTGCCCCCATTTTGGTATTTATTTGTCATTTTCAACGCTTTGCAGGGCGTTCTCATTTTTCTGTCTTTCGTGTGTTCTAAAAAGGTTCTAGGACTTCTTAAAGCAGCGAGGTCTGGCAGCTGTGTCCAGGTATGTTACACGAGATATGGTGTAAGTACACAACGTTCGAGTGACACGTCTACTTCTTCAAGGTCAAACAGAACCCTACTGTCCGTCATCTCGTATAAATCAAGTAAATGTGAAGAGAGCGAGTCGACCTGTTGAAATAGCGCTATAGTAATCTGTGTGTCGCCGTTTTATAACTACGCCTGGCGCATGTTACGCTGCAAGTTAATTATGTCACCAAATAGTGACAGCATCAGTGAGGTGACGTACAAATTTGATTTGTGTTGAAGATTTAAAATGTTATCAAGTGAGGTCGTACATCAATGAGGTGACGTACGAATTTGTGTTGAAGATTTAAAATGTTATCAAGTGAGGTCTTACATCAATGAGGTGACGTACGAATTTGTGTAGAAGATATATAATGTTATCAAGTGAGGTCTTACATCAATGAGGTGACGTACAAATTTGTGTTGAAGATCTATAATGTTATCAAGTGACGTCTAACATCAATGAGGTGACGTACGAATTTGTGTAGAAGATATATATTGTTATCAAGTGACGACTAACATCAATGAGGTGACGTACAACTTTGTGTTGAATATTTATACAGGGATTGAACGGCTAATCGGTTACATCCATATTGCATAAAGCCCGCTAGGGCTTCATGTTTAATATGAATGTAACCGATTTGCGTTCATACCGGCATGAAAATTTAAAATACGGCGTTCAGTCCCTATATTTACATTTTTACTATATAACAAATGTTTAATTTTATTCATTTGTTCTGAAATAATTCATTTATTTACTGCATTTTGTTTATGCTTCGATCCTTAAACGACATTGGCGGTACAAGTCATTTGAGTGTTTCACGTAGCATGCTATCCAAAGTTAAGCGACAAGACTCCCATTGAACAAGGTTAATTCATGACGTCATAAGTAAACCTAACGCTGCAGCTGTATAATATCGTAAGAGTAGCGACGAACGACCTAATGTATCATGGTAATATTTACAAATTATATCAAATATTTTTATTAAATATTATAATCAACTCCGGTATGTGTTTTTTGTTTTGTCGTTTTTATATATTAGGTTTGACAAATTCATTTGCTGGAATGCGTATTGTCTTTCGTTGAAAACAGGGAACAAGTGACACGCCAGGTTAAATTACGAAAGTTTATAAAAACATATTTGAAATTCATTGTATAAGTTTTCACGAATAATAGTATCATTATAGTCAACCACATATGTGTTAAAAAAAACTAACAGCCACAATTATAGTCAGTCAACACTGAAATATAAGTGTCCGAAACTAAAGTAGCGGCTACAAATAGAGTACACCATGTTTAGGTTATAAAAGAATTGCAAGTCCAAATTCCATTTCTCCGACAGAATGAGAAGATCACCAGAAGTGTCCAGGACGGGGACTCTACGCGATAACCCCCACTTTACATATCACCAGCTGTCAACCGATACTAAAGTTATCATACAATTATGGACTTCAGGTGAGGTCTATACCTGATTCACAGACCTTGTCTGAACAATATTCACTGTGGCCGGAGGCCGAGGTGAATATTGTTCAGACAAGCTCCGTGAATCAAGGATATACCGAAAATAAAGTCCACAATTATTTTATTATATGACATTTAACAATAAGTTTAATCATGTTTCATGTCATAAACACATGGATGGCATGTACCATTTCGGAATCACAGATTGAAGGACTTCAAATACAAAATAATATACACAATTTCAGATTCACTTCATGTGATATTTCATTTCAAGTAAATATCATTTGCACAACCGCATCATCAATAGCATCACATAGTTCAGAATTTGATGGGACAACTAATTTGTAGTTGAATTCAGTAGTTTGATTTGTAACAGATTCACAGACTGGCTGTGAAATTACCGATGCCTATTTTTAGTAGCGGTCTGTAACACTGTTTTATTATGGGTCGTGTTCTATAACCCTTTTCTATTTACAGACTTGTCTCATGACGTCGCTCCTCCAATCAGGGATGGGAATTAGCACCAGTCATAATAATAATCGGTATTACAGACTTCCATAGTCCTGGCGCGTTGGTTCGGACCTTGTCTACTTCCAGAACATTTCTTATCTTTTTGTGGCAAAACGAAGACAGTCATTCCGAGTCATTCGTGATGATGATAGTCTGATAAAGGTACAACAGGTATGATTGGTCCACCACCGACCTAGCCAAGTCTGATAAAGGTACAACAGGTATGATTGGTCCACCAACGCCCTAGTCGAGTCTGATAATGGTACAACAGGTATGATTGGTCCACCAACGACCTAGTCGAGTCTGATAATGGTACAGCAGGTATGATTGGTCCACCACCGACCTAGCCGAGTCTGATAATGGTACAACAGGTATGATTGGTCCACCACCGACTTAGCCGAGTCTGATAATGGTACAACAGGTATGATTGGTCCACCCCACCACCGACCTCGCCGAGTGGAAAAATTTACCAAAACTTTCACTTTAATCAATAGTATGTTTACATAAACAAAAATTTAGTTAAAAAATGTGTAAGCGTCAGCCAACTTGAACTTGTAAACATTGCCCGAACTCCATGCATGTATGTAATTTCACAAATATAATTAGATATATATATATATATATGTATATGTCCGCCTGAAGAAGCCCTAGAAGGCAGAAAGGCCTGGCGGACGATCTGAAAAATTTGTTTTTATTCTATATTTTCCTTCGCAAGGACTTATTTATTTATTATCTACTATATATATGTATATATAAAGAAAACATTGAGAAGTCCTTGTGTTGGAATTAAATATAAATATAAATATATATATACAAAAGTAGAACCTTCAATAAGTATTTTACATGTTCCACATCTGGGCGAATTACATTTAGACACAATAAGTTCAGCTTGATTCGTTTCAAACTTGGAAAAACTCAATAGCCTTTTGAGATTTTTGGGTTGTCTTTTACTATTGATAATTCTATGTTTAGCTAAAACATTTTTCAACATAGAATTATCAATAGTAAAAGACAACCCAAAAATCTCAAAAGGCTATTGAGTTTTTCCAAGTTTGAAACGAATCAAGCTGAACTTATTGTGTCTAAATGTAATTCGCCCAGATGTGGAACATGTAAAATAATTATTGAAGGTTCTACTTTTGTTTTCAAAAAT